AAGACTCTATTCATGCAAGTTTCAGGGAGACTGTATTCGGCTTTTATGTTCATGAATTCAGTAACGGCGGATAGCTGAGAGTATCCCTCACAATCAGCATACAGAGGTTGGTCGGCAGCTTTTAGAACATCCTGAAATCTCTCAGCCAAACCTTCATCCACATAAGGTTGATAAAATGTCGGATTTTCATCCGCATCTGGTTGATACGAGGTTGAGGCTTCAGGGGGGTCGTTAGGTGGTTGTGGGGGGTTGAACTGAGACATCGGTACACCGTATGCGTCATATACCATTTGTTGGTCCCACCTCATTTCAGCACGGTCTCCCCACGCACTCATCTCTGGAGGGACGTAACGAGACGAACCTACCGTTTGTGGTATAACAGATGGATCCAAAGGTTCGCCGTGAGAAGTCCAATTATAATAATTGGGAACAAAACCGACCGCGTACAAATCATACCCAACTTCGTGTGGGTCTTTAAATTTGAGATTTTTACACTTTGAACATGGACATCTTATTTTATCACCACTCATATAAGCCGGATGTTCAAGTGCAAATTCAATAAATTCCCCAACTCCCTCGAGAAAATTTGATTGCATTCCGTACAATACCGCATCTTTATCATACATCCAACTTCTATTTTGTTTATACATTATGCCTGAATATTATAATAAAAAAGTATACACGTTCAAATACTAACAATAATACTAACAAATTTTAAGTGAGTTATTTCACTAAATAATCAACTAACTAATTTTCACTAAATTAAATGAAATGCACACAATTCACAACAATAATTCACAAAATATAAGTAATTACCTAATACTTAAATTTAACTAATATTACAAAAAATTTAAGTAATTTATTAACACTACATTTAAATTAAACATACGTTTAACTAAATTTAACTAATTCATTTAGTTAAATTTAACTAAATTTAACTAGTTCATTCCGTCCTCTTTTAATGCATCACTACGTTTAAACCCACGTTTAGCTAACTAATATAACATAATTAACACATCACTAGCTACGTTTAAACCTACGTTTAGCTAACGAATTTTAATTAAATTATTTTTGTAAACCTACATTTAAACCTACACTAAATTATTACGTTAATGACATTTAATGTTATTAGTACTACACAATTAACAATTCCAATTCACTAAATTAAATAATATGACCAAATTAAACCCAATAATTTGAACATGTATATAAGGTCATTTGAATTAATAAATAATACACAATTACAATAACAATTCACAATACACTTAATTAACACATTAATAACGTACGTTTAACTAACTAATTTCACTTAACATAAAGATCACTACGTTTAAAACTACGTTTAGCTAACTAATTTTAATTAAATTATTTTATAAACCTAACAGTTTAACTAATTTTATGACATTACTACGCTTACAGTTGAATATGTTGTTAATTAATTAACAACATCACTAATTTAATAATTTTAATAATTTAAATTGAACCAACTAATTCTAAATAAAAATAATAATTCAAATAACATACCTTAACTGCATAAATGGGGAAAATGATAGAAGACAGACTACATCCTTCGATCTTTCAAACAGATACTGTATATACTGGGAATGAATTCGTGTGGTTCTGTTGAATGAATGAGCTGCTCCTGCATATATAAAAAATGTAGTCACGGACTTAGTCACGGATTTGTCCGTCACTAAGCAAAACCGTGTCCATTACGCGTCCGATCCGTGTTAATGACATGTAAATGACATGTTAATCAAAGTAGTCACGGACATAGTCACGGACATGGCCGTGACTAAATTTATTCGTACATAATACCGTTGCGGATTGATTTATGGGAGATGAAAAATTATTTTTTAAATTTAGTCACGGCTGTAGTCACGGATGTGGCCGTGACTATGTCGCCGGAGTAAAACAAGCCAGGTCGGAAAAACAAACGGGCAATCGGAGGATGTTAGTCACGGACAAATTTCCGTGACTACGCATAGTCACGGCTGTAGTCACGGTCAAATCCGTGACTAATTTTTTTTTTGAATTTTCGTGAATATTCCGTGACTAGTCCGTGACTAGGCTAGTCACGGACCAAATCCGTGACTACGGTCCGTGACTAAACGAGTGTTTTTTTGTAGTGAAACATCCTGGACCTTGCTCATGATGGGAAAGCCTGGCATTCAAATCCCAATAAATACACTCCATAGCATAACGTTGTTTTGTTTTCGCTGATCTCCTAATTAGTTTCCCACACCGATCATGAAAAAGAATTCTATAGCCTATTGTTTTTTAAAAAAGACTTCTCCCATTCAGTCACCCATATGGGTGATTTCACTGATTTGTACGCCTAGTGTCTTCCAAAAAGGCTAAAGGCCGATCTCAATTGTAAGCCTGGTTATTAGGCCGCATTTTAAATCACTTCATATAACAATATTAAGTAAAAATATTATTTTTTGGGTCTTAATTTTTTTTGGGCCCTGTGCGGTTGGACTGCCAGCACATGCTCTGGGCTGGCCCTGGACGGGATTATCCACCCGTCACTAATTTTCCTAGTTAACTAATTTTCCTAGTTAAAAGTAGCTTTTCTTGTAGTGATTATCATGGACGTGAGTGGGCAAATGAAGGATATGCAAAATTGCCGCAAATAAAAGTATATTCAAGACAATGGCATATTCGGTTATATGACTAGAAGAAATTGTTAGATTGGTTTGGACTTGCATGTATACAAAATTAGCTACTTGAGCATTTTAATGTATAAAATCAAGAGTATAGTAGTGATTGATCCATTGTCTTTCATGAGCCTTAGTAGATAACACGTAATTTGTTATGAGTGAAAGACACATCTCTCAATGGATAAACTGAATCATGAAAATGTCTCACGAGTCTTGTTGTTATTGTTTGTGAATTGTGATGGAAAAACAAGTGATATGTTTTTAAAACTAAGTACCATTTCCACAATGATATATATCACAATGTTATGACTATGGATTAGTTTTGTCACCCGATCGCGTATCTTCAGAAGCTTCCCGGAAGCTATGATTTTTAGTCATACCCGACCGGGTGAGTCGGTGTACCCGATCGGGTATGACAATGGATCGTGGTCAAATATTGCCCCGCACGTTCCTTTGTCTTCTAGATTCGATCGGATATGCAAAACAAGTAGGTGCCCGATCGGATATAGGGTATACCTAACCGGGTACAGCCCAAAATCGAAATCTTCTCTTTTTGTCTTGCATATATTTTTGCACCTTCCTTCCACTTTTTGGGTTCACCAATGATCTCTTATGTGATCATGGATCTGCTTGAGCTCAAAATAATCCTAATCTAAACAAATCACAAATATTTTACAAACTAAACTATTACACCAAAAGTGTGTGATTTCCAAAGTAACAATCAACAAAACTAAATAAAAACACAAACATAACAATGGAATCTACATGAATATCACCACCTTAGTATAATATTATAGAAGTTGTACATTTTATAGTTTTATGATAATACTATTAATAGAGAACATCTCCACATCACTTTTATATTATACGGAGTAACTAACTTCCTATAAAAATATATTAAAAACCCATGTGTACACACTTCCTTATATTCACCTTGTACCTAGCTCCGTGAGAATGTTCTTTGTCTATGAATCCTGTTCACAAACAAAAAACATGTTTTTGTCGGGGGGACATGTATACAGACAAATTTGTATGTGAAATAAATCAAATAGTCTGCTCACATCGGTAGGTATAAGGTAGGTATAATGAAATGTGTACTATTAGCAAAGCTGAAAAAATATATAACCAATCAAAGTTAAACATGGTTGACTAAAAAATAAAAAATGACAAAGTGTTAAGGGGCGAAGAGAATATTTATTAGTTATTTTTATTGGTGGGACAAAGTTTTCTTGATTTATTGCTATAATCCTATTTGTAATAGTTTTCTCTGCGATACTAATAGTTCATTTTTGCCAATTATTTTTCTTATCAAAAATTAATGTTCAAACATTAAGACATTTGGTAAGATATTTGAATATCACTAAAATATTAATGCTCAATTCATATGATTAAGTAGCCACCATCATTAATGAATTGAAGTGAGGATACTTCGTATTTGATAATTTAGTTGTTTACAATTGACTATAGATTTAAAATGAAAGTAAGGGTATAAAAATAAAGCTTTTATGAGGAAGCGGTCCAGTCCCCTTGGAGTAAAAAAACTTTTATATTTGGCTATACTTTTTGCATTTTTACTTTTTGATAAGCTATATTAAAAAATATATTTATGTATATTAATTAGTCAATAAACATGTGAATTGCACCGATTGCAGATAGAAGGAATTTGCTGAAAAATGATATAGAATCATGTGTGTGTGTGTTTTATAAAAACACTTAAAACAGATCGACTTAGTAACACTTGTTCTAGTATATATACTCAGTCCCAATTAGTACTTCGTATAAAATTACTCATAAACTAACGTTCATCATCATTGATTTCTTTCTCAAGAGAATGATAAAAATTACTGTCATCTATACTTTAGTAGGCCTAAATTAATATATAATCATCACTTATTTTGTTATTTTTTAAATATTGAAATTTTGAATGTGAGTTTTACATTTCAAAAATTGTTTTGTATGTATTAGACTATATTATTAGTAATTGCTATTAAACATTTAATCTTATATAAAGATTGTTGGGGCAACACAAAATCTCTAAAGTGCCCGCTATTATTTCAACAAAAATCTCTAAAGATTTTTGAGGTTATGTATGCTCGCTGCTTGTGTGGTTTTTTCTCTTGACCACTTGCTTTAAATTTTTAAGTAATGTTTTTGCTTTATGTGTGAAGATTAATTGCGTTTTTCTTGGTCGTGAAGATTGTATTATGGAGTTGCATTTGCTTGACCATAAAGATTGTTTCAAGAGTTAATTACGTGAATTTGACTAAAACATGCCTAAAATTACAAGACTCCTATATAGGACTAATCATATGTGTTTGGGTAAATATACCCTTGTAGCATTTGGACGGTCCAGCCCGGCCACCAACGCCGACCGCCGGCCACCATTGCCGGCGTCCGGCCACTGCCGCCAGCCTCCGGCCACCTCCGCTGGCCACAGGCCATCTCTCAACTGTGCTGTTTGCCGCTGCTGGAATCCGGCCGATGCCGCCGGAATTCGGCCAAAGTTCCAGATCACATTTTGTGCTAGTTTCACGCCAGGAGATTCGCTGGAGCTTCACCACCGATACCCACCGCCTGACTGTCTTGCCGCCACCGTACTACCCCGCCACCAACGGATCGGACTGTCCCGATTGCCCAAGGAACTAGGGGGCGGTTAATTAATTAGATTAGAGGTTTTAGGTTAGAATATTAATATTTAGTCCTATTTATGAATGATTTAGGGTACATTTAGTCCTGTTTTTACAATTAAGTTTCTACTTAGGGCAATTACTAATGTTTCAACTACAACTATATTTATAATTTATTGGTGTATGTTTACATAATAGACTGCACACAATATTTCTACTATACCACTACGAAATGAAAAATTGTGATACACATAAACAATACATATTTTAGCATTCATGTTAGCATAACTCCAAGTTCTAAAATTAAATATGAGTATATTTAGCATCCCAGCGCCCAAGTCACTAGGCACTGCTTTGTCGCCTAACTAATGCCTATGGAGTTCTAGAACAATGAAGAAGATTAATTTTGTATGTGTGGACTATTTAGTACTTTTAAATCAATTGTTCATACTAGTTTAATCGACTCTCTCTGTGTCACATCACTATTTACTTGGAATTATTTCCTTAAATAGCCTAGTTGCATCTAATTACTCAACACAACTTTAACAAAGGAACCCTTCTTAAAACCCAATATCGTTCAACGATTTCTCAATAAATTCTTAATGAAAAACACAATGTTTTCTTTTGAACTGTATTCAGTCCCAGACCAGACCAGACCAACCACACCAGACCAGACTTTCATAGTTATAAAATACACAGAAACCAGACGTTTATCAGACCAGGCCAGACCAGCAAATTTCTGCATTCTAAAAGAAAACATCCTAATTAGTTAACCTGTATTTGTAAAACTTGGGAATTTGTAGCCAAAATGCAAATTACTAACGCACATGCCAAAATTTCGAGTAGCATGTGGAATTAATATGATGTTGGAACCTATTACATCAGGATAGCCAACTAGGTACAGGTTACCACTTTGATAATGTCAAAGATGAATCTAGAATTTACTTCAACATCTTTGAGGATCCAAGAAGGCTGAGGCTAGATTAATCTTAAAAGGTTCGGATTTTTTTTCGGAGGCTTGAAATGCAAAACTCTTCAATTCACTTTGTTTGATGTGGTCAAGCAGTTTTAGTTATTCTTTAACTAAAATGTATCTATGCAAATTTATGTATTAGTATGTTTTGGATATTCCTTGTGCGAGTTAACCTTTTAATTAAGATATACGAAGTATATCTTTGTTTGTTAATATAATATCTAAGGTAATAAATCTCAAACAAGAACCATCTGACTTTACAAGAAGAAGAATTTAAATGAATTGGTAGAAAGTTTCCTTTGTGAAGGTATACTCAGAAATTTTCATCTTGTGTGTGCAGAAATTTTCCGTAGAATACCTAGAAAAAGGTTTCTTTGTGAAGGTATACTCAGAAACAAGTTGTCCTGGTCTTCTTGTTGCTTTACTTGAAGCTTTTGAGGAGTTGAGTCTTAATGTTCTAGAAGCTAGAGTTTCTTCTATGGACAACTTTCACCTACAAGCAATTGGTGGAGAGGTACACATATATATTACATGCCCGTTCACTTATTTTTGTCTCATTTTACCTTCTCCGTTCGTCTAATTAACTTCATCAATTTAATACAATTTCACTTTTGAATGACTACAATTCATTTTTACGAATCACACAATTTCACTTTTCTTAATGATAGGGGGACGGAGGTAGTAGCGTATCTCCACATACACACCCCCACTAAACACATTTAATTATGGCATAGTAAAACATATTTATACAAACACAATTTGCACAATAATTATATAAAATACTCCGTAATACATTTTGAGCATAAGTGGGACATATTCAGAATATTAGGTCAAGGGGCGAACTTTTTCCTTCATTACGGTATTACTAATAGTATAATGATAAACCAAAAAATATACGTAGTAAGTATTAGCATACAATACGATATTTAAATGTAGAGCTAGTTGACATTACAAAATGACAAATATAGTGAGTTAATTTTTATAATTAAAGAGTACTCAAAGTCGATATTAGTGTATCAAACAACTATATGATACAAAATCAAAGTAAACATTTTTTTTGTTTTAATAAACATTATATATGTTATTATAGAAAAAGTGAGTGAAAGCCTATTAAATCATTTTGACTATAAATATCTTTAAACGGTACGGTGGATATCCATATCTGCTACGAGTATTATTTTTAAACAATTTTTGCATCACTTGACTAAATAATAAGTGATGTAAGCATGAAAAATCAAATACCTAAGTTACATTTTCATGTATAGCATGTATGCTTCTTGTGGTCCAACAAATGTGCTTTAATTTTACAATAGTAAGCATGAAGCTGTTGATTTCGAATTTAAGATTATATTTTATTTATAGAAATAATGTTAACTAATATCATATGTGTATATCTTATTGTGAAATGCAAGAGTGTTTTAAACTTTAGTAGTCATTTTTTCAGCTCCAATTAAGGTTTCTCATACATTACAAACAAATTAAACTTAATTAACCCTCTTTTAGTATCAGCTTTAGTTTTATACGGAGTACATTTTATTTTCATCATATTCGAATTCAACTATTACGATCAAACAAAACTTCTACAGAAATTCCTAAATATGTAGATTTCAATTAATTATTAGTAATGATATACATATTTCATGAAGCGATTGTTACGTTAATTTTGTTGTCATTCAATCATTGTAAACTCAATCGAGAAGCCTAAACACCGGGTGCATCAAATCATCTTTATTTCATCACGAAATTTACCATGCCTTTGTTTTAAATATCACATATGCATTAGACAGGATTATTCCTGTCCGGAAATTCCAAACAGGAGCCCCGTCCGGCCTCGTCCATTTGGGGGCTTTCCCGGTGGTATTTTTTGGTCAGATTTTTTGTGTATGTCCTCATCAAGTTTAGTTCATCTATACCAAATTTAAGCAAAAAATTTAATCGGGAAAGTCGTCAAATGATTTTTGAAAGTTAACTAGTCCGGAATATGTATTTTCCGGACCAGTTAACTTGAAAAAATCATTTGACGACCTTTCCGATTGAAGTTTTTGCTAAAATTTGGTATGAATGAACTATACTTGATGAGGAACATACACAAAAAATTTGAGCAAAAAATACGTACCACCGGGAAGGCTCCTGAAAGGAGGAGGCCGGACGGCGCTCCGGTCAGGAAATTCCTGACCGGAAGATTACTCATGCATTAGATATTGATGGATCGTCTACCCGGGGGGTATCTTATCCGAGGGGTTATTATGGGAATAACTAGAGAGAAGTCAGAGCAAATAGGAGGAGAGAGAGTCGATTTATTAAATGAACTCAGCGTGTGGAGTTGAGATGTAGATGATGTCCATTACAAGGAGAAATGGGCTGCTATTTATAGCAGTAATAAATGCGATGGGAGTACACGTGTCAGTAATCCAACGGCCGAAGGGTCACATCGGCCGGTTGGCACCGGCAGTGGTACGTCCACCGCATTGAATGCGGTTGGCGGACGTGACGTGGCATTTAAATGCGGTGGTTGGCTGTCTCCAAAAGGAATCTTTGATGATTGAGCTAGTTCAGTCGAAGGCTCCTTGTGTAGCCGAGGGCTCCTTGTGTAGCCGAGGGCTTTCCTGATGCCGAGGGCATGAAAATGCCGAGGGCTTATGTTTTCGCCCGTTTTCTCCCAGCAGCTTCTTATGCCAAAGAGGCTATCCTGTGAGTTCTGGAGCCTTCGGCCAAGGAGGCCGAAGGCACCCCAGTGTGTATTCTGGGCTACTTTGAGGCTCGGGCCGTTGCATTTGGGCCTGAGTTGTTCTCTGGGCTTAATGGACTTGTGTAGGAGAAGTAGGAGTCTATGGGCCGGGGGTTCCTGGGCCATATACTCCATCAGGAGTCCCTCACTCCTTTTGCCGAAAGGTACTTGAGGGAAAAGGAGTAGTTGTGTTGATTCTTCTGGAGGGTTCATCGTTTGGTTGGGGGCCCTTGCTTGAGAACTTGCCTTCTGCTGATTGCCGAAGGCTTCCCTCAGTCCCTCACATGTCGAGGGTTTTCTGAGGGAAGTATAACACCTGTATAACCGCCGAAGGCTTTCCTCAGTCCCTCACATGTCGAGGGTTTTCTGAGGAAAGCATGGATGTATTGCCTGCGTGTGTTGTGATGAGGGTTGCTTCATTTCCGCAAAGTGACTCGGGAAAAATTTTGATACTCTACCTCTGCCGAAGGGTGTGTTGAAGTATGTACCCGAAAGTTTCTGCTTTGATGTTCACCCGGATGCTACATGCGTCAATTGTAAATCTTTGCATGAGGAAGTTTTGTCCTGCATGATTCCCGAGGGGTGTATCCCAGTCCCCCACTCCTTTAGGCCGAAGGCAAGTTCGGGCTGAAGGAGTTATGATGTGTTGATGCGAACCCGAGGGGTGATAATACTGACAAGTCGGGGGCTTACGCTGCTGCCAGCTTGAAGGCGCTGTGTTGGAATTCATTGCCTGAAGGCTGTGGTGAGTGATAACCGGAGGCTATCATTCGAGGGCACCCCAGTGTTGTCGAAGTATAGTCGTTGTAATATAGCCGTTGGAAGGGGAGTTGACGTGGCGTGTAGTCGTTGGTTGAAGGCGGGCGGCGGCCATCCATTGGCTGAACCGGCGGCCCGTAATGATGGCCTTTTTAAATTTAAGCCCAGATTCCGAGGCTGGGAGCCTATAAATACCCCAAGCCCGAATTCATATTCCTTGTGCGATATTTGTGATAGCGAAGCTCTGCCCTTTTGTTTTCTAGAGAGAGAAAGCCCTGTTCGATCAAACCCCAAGTTTCGAGGTCAGTTCTTCACCCGTTCTCGCTTTACTAGCATACTTCGCTTTTCTCCCTTAGATCTTGTGTTAGAGGTCTTAGGAGCCTTCGGTAGGAACATTTAGGTAGTCCCCCTCAGCCACACTTCTTCTATTCTTCCTTCAGAATCATGTCTTCTCAAAGCGATTCCCAAGATATCTCGGGGGAGCCGTCGGCACAACAGGGGAGCTACTCGGACGTGGAGTCCTCGAGTGCGCAATCCTCGGCGAACAACGATTCAGCGGTTGCCGAGGAAGTTCAGAATAACCTTCGCACTGAGCTGGAGGCGGAGGAGTTCGAGCAGGTTGTCGAAGATGAAGAAATGGCCCTCGCCCTCCAAGTAGCTGAGGAAGAAGAAGAGAAGGAGAGACAAGAGGTCACAATTGCTGTCCTCCCGCTTCGTGGTGCCGGTGAGGCGAGCACCTCCCGGCCACTAGATCCAGAACCCCTCAGCGTTGTCGT